TTTTGCTCAATATTGCGAAGTTTGTGGCGGTGAAATGGCTTCACGTAGAAAGTCAAAACAACCTTAGGTAAATAGCCCGTGATGTCTACTTTATATAAATATATACTTTTGTGTGGCAATTTTGTTTTCTTTTATGGCTATTAAGCTTACAAGACAAACATACCAAATTCTAAAATCGCTCCACATTAAAGTTTATTTTACTCCTTGTGCTTTGTGACCTGTAACTACCAAAAAAAACTTAAAATCCCAGACACATTATATATTCTGTAAATCAGAACAACTAAATGAATTTATTTTAATTACTTTCCTTAACCTGCACTAATTATGCACACATTATTTTTGCAAAAACTGTAAAAAAAAAACACAAAAATGTTCATTTTTTTTGCATTTTTCTGTATTTTTTTATAATTAATAAGCATTAATATATATGTGTCTTAATCAAATTAAAGCCCTTTCTGTCCTTTTAAAAACAGTATATAATATGTGTCGGTGCAATAAATGAGAGAGATGCAAATTGCAGTTGAACGCAAACAGCAAGAAAATGCAAAAATTGCTTGTGTCATTAAGCGTAAGACAAGCTTCTGAAGCTGTGTCCTTAAGGGGTTAATAGCTTGCTATGTAATTAAAGTTCAATTTACAGAGCGGGTGATAAAAACTTATAAAGTAAATTACATCTGATTGAAAATGAAACCAATTTGTTTTCATGCAGACTGTGTAATAATTGTAGAATAGTAAAAGAAGAACAGTGCAAATATATTTGTAAATAAATATTTTCAACATAGCTTTCTACCATGGCCTTGAACACAGATATATTGATGATATGTTAGTTACATAGGCTGAAAAGAGGCATGTGAGGAAGGCTGAACTTGATGGACACATTTGTTTTTTGCTGTTGATCCAAAAGAAGGTTAAAAAAAAAAGTTTAAAGCACTTCCAATTTTGCAAAAAAACTGGGGAGAAATCCCTCTTGACCCCAGAATGGCAGTCAGATTAATCCTTTAATATTCTTTTTTTTTGCAAGTATGCATCTAGTTCTTCTTCGGGCAGAGAATTCCATATCCTTATTGTTCTTACGGTTAAAAAATAAATAAAAATTCCTTTGCCTTAGACTTAATCTTCTTTCTTCCAGTCTAAAGGCATGACCTTGTGTCCTATGTAAAGTCCTGTTTGTGAATAGATTTTCACACAATGGTTTGTATTAGCCACGGATATATTTGTATAATGTTATCATATCCCCCATGAGGCGACATTTTTCTAAACTAAAGAGTCTTACCAGTGATTTATAAAGAGACAAAATTATATTCTTATCCTGAGAATTATTGCCATTTTTCATGCATGACAATACCTTACTAGCCTTAGCCACTGCTGATTGACATTGCACATTGTTGCGTGGTTTGTTGTCTATAACAATTTCCAAGTCCTTCTCATGTGTGGTTATCTCTAATTCGCTACCATAAAGGGTATAAATTGCTTGTGCATTCTTTACACTGAAGTGCATAACTTTGCATTTTTCTACATTAAATTTCATCTACTATTTTAGTGTCCAGTACCCCAGTCTATCTAAATCTCTCTGCAGCAAAGTAATATCTTGCTCACATTGTATTACTTTACAGAGTTTTGTGTCATCTGCAAACACTGAAACATGACTTTCAATGCTTTTTTCAAGATTATTTTTTAAACATGTTAAATAGAAGGGGTCCCAGAACAGAACCCTGAGGGACACCACTTGCCACTTCTGTCCAGCTTGAAAATAATGTTACTTTTTATATACCTGGTGGGCTTGAGACATTGTGTGTCTGACCTATATGCTTGTTTGTTCAGGATCCCGTTTTGTTTTCTGGAACCTTGAGGATGAATTTGGATCCATTCAACCAGTATACTGATGAAGAAATATGGAGAGCCCTTGAACATGCCCACCTGAAGCAATATACAGAGGGTCTGCAGGAGAAACTCTTCTATGTAGTGAATGAGGGAGGTGAAAATCTCAGGTAAGCATAGTTTAATCCGAGCACAACCTGATAATATATGTGTATTTATACCATCTTCTGTTTAAGCATTTTCTTGAAATGTCTTCTTGATACTTTAAGGCAGTGGTTCCCAACCCAGTCCTCAAGTACTGGACAGTCCAGGATTAAAGGATTACCCAGTTGTGTTTAGGAAAAAACAAAACAAAACACTTTAGACACAATAGGGTAATCCCTAAATCCAGGACTGGTATTGGGTACTTGAGGACTGGGTTGGGAACCACTGCTTTAAGGGTAACATAAATTAAAGCGAAATACTTTCCCTTCATTATGTAAGCACCCAATTTGTATTGTGGGACAGACATAGAGCATAAATTAAGTTTTAAAGAATTGTATGCAAACGTAAAGGTAAAAAGTACATATCGGGGGTGGGGTTAACTGACGATCAGTGCGGTCGCATGTCTGTCGACAAAGCACAAAAAAGCTTAAAAATAAGGAGCCTTTCTGTAGCACAAACTGCCCTGGCCAGAGCCGATGATGTCCGCAAGCATATGGGGCGGAAGAATAAGAAACCGAGGCCGGACCGGTCCAGGTTTTCAGCCGACATTAGTGAGCTCTTTAGAAGGCTGCATGGTGCAAGCAGGCCGTACATGCTGGACGATTTCTCAGACGTCTCAGATGAAGTTCCCCTGCATAGACCAGCAGACCTGGGCTTTCAGGGACCTCCCACACCCCCTCCGGAGGCAGAAAGCGGCTCAGCCCGGTTATCACCTCCATCCTAACCAACCTCCTGACCGACCTCCACAAAAGCCTCTCTGCAGACATACCCCAAGTACAGAAGGATGTCAGGGGGTTCACAGCCCACTTAACCAAAGTAGAACAAACCGTGCAAGAGCATACTCCCCAAGAAGCAGGTGAGGTAAGGGGCCTCACAACACCTCAGACAAAGTTTGACAGCCAGCTAGCAACTTTGCAGGATAAGAGGAGGTGGAAACACTTGAAGATCAGGGGTATATCAGACTTCACTACTATGGCAGAGATGCCACACTTCCTATGCAGGTTGTTTATGGCTTTACTACCCCCTAAAACAGCAAAGGGTATTCGACTGGATGACATGTTTCGCCTACCCAAGCCTCAGTCTACTACTACCCCAGCTACCAGTGACCTCTTGGTTAAATTTCAAAATGGGCAAGATAGAGCAGCCATCTTACAAGCCACCGGGGGAAGACCCATATACCACTTTGAAGAAATGGATCTCACGTTCTCTGCTGAACTCTCTCAATCAACACTGCAGTGGTGAAAGTCACTGAGACCCCTAAGATCCACACTAATGTCCCAAGGCCTGAAGTATGGCTGGGGCACGCCTAGTAAGCTGATATTCCAGCACAATGGTGCAGAACACAGAATCACAGAAACATCTGAAATATCCTGTCCTCCCTGGGACCTGGTCCTAACCCTCGACCCGCTACAACCACGTGGAATCCCGCCACTGTGGTCCCGTTCACTCCTTGACCCCGAGGAGCAGCAGGAGTAGCCATCACCTGAATACAGCACTATTGGTGTTGGGACTTGTCCCCTTTCTCTTCCTTTCACTTTACTTTTCATTAATGCTTTTTTTGTTTGTTTGTTTAAAAATTGTGCAATTATCCGATTTTGTTAATGTTCTTCATGGATCATCAGTCCTATAACCATTCTGCGCCACAGTTGTCACACTCATGAGCCCTCGCCTTGAGTTAACCTTGAGCTTGCTACCTAGACACCACAGAGATCCACAAAACATTACGGCGCAGGAAAATTTAGAAATTTAAACTGGTTTCTGTTATTAGTTTTGCACCAACACCATCCACCTGTTGCAGCTCACTCTCTTAAGCCACGCTCTGCAATTCATGCACAGAAATTACGTCATCAGTCTACATGAAATTAAGAATATAATAAGGAACATGTTAACTGTTATTATAAAAATGTGCCAATATCTAGACTGCCACACTACTGTTTATCAATTCTGTATCATGATTATGCCTGTCGTTGCTGTCGTGGCAAGACAAGCTTGTGTTATTACCTGTGCATGACAAAAATGTAAGATTTTTTTTAAAAGTACATATATCAAAGAAGCAGATGAATTATAATAACCAAAATATTAACATAAAAAGTAGGAATTCTGTAATGTGACAGTATTAAAACTGTGTTGCCATTACAATGCTGTACAGATACA